GTTTTATTAAAAAAACTAAATAAAATATTAACTACAGCTCTTCCACAAGAGTCTGTAGTTTCATCAATTGTAATACAGATTTTTTTGTTATTTAATTCATTTTTAAGCTTTGCTTCTTCTTGATATAACAGAGGAAGGTAATTGACCAGGTCCAGGAATAATTCTACCTGTTAAACAAATATATAACTTATATTAATTAAATAAACAATTAAAAATATATTGTATATATAATTATCTTTACCATTTTTACAATATTGGCTTAAAAATGATTTAAAATAATCCGCTTTTTCAATAGGTATGTCAGCTTGAACAAATACATTAAGAAAATCTTTAATGAAAGTTTCTTTGACATCATTACTTTGCTGAAATAACTTTATTCCAACTTGGTGAGAGGTGGATTGTACAGGTTTTTGAGTTTTTGATATATGCGCATCTGATTTTAAATGATTGTCAACTGTAGACTTTTTTTCATGATTTACTACAACATCGCATGTTTTACAAAAAAGTTTTCTACCGCTAGCATAAAAATCTGATTTATACTTGGGGGTTTTTGGTAAGACGTTCTGAAGCAGATACCATAATTGCATTAAAAAAAATTATCGAATTTTTTTTTATAAAAAAACTTTCAAATCGACAGATCAAAAATTGGTGTTAGTAACCTGAAGAATTTAAGATAAGTAATTAATTTAATGAGTTACTGGTTTAGTAAAAAAACTATTTCAAATCGACAGATCAAAAATTGGCGTTAGTAACCTGAAGAATTTAAGATAAGTAATTAATTTAATGAGTTACTGGTTTAGGATATTATGACATAACTACTAACATAACCATAATTGCTAGGGACAAGGGTGGGAAAACCACTAGCTGATGCTACAAGTTGCTAGTTTAAAATTATACATCCATTGCACTGACGTATCCGTATATCTTTTTAAAAGAATTTAATATTCGATAAAAAAAACGACAATCGAATGATTTAAAATTCGACCAATCAACAGCGCCAATTATAATTATGCGATTTTTGTCAAATTATGCTTCGTATATGCTATGCCAAAAATTGGCCAATTATGTGCATCGCATCGCATCGCATGAAACTGAGGTTCCTAGTGTGGCAGTTGTGTTCGTGACCCGTTTACAAACAAATTATGCATAAGCCAGGGTTATAACTTTAGATTTTTCTTTACGTAGTGAAGATACATAAGTGTCACATATTAATTTATTATATGAAAAAATATAACAGGTAAGTTAAAACTGATAAATTATTACACGTCGACCTAAATTCAATACATGGCGCAGTAATCATGTGATTGTGACCTCCAAGGTCACGTTTACATGACTTATACGAATGATTCTGTTGGGGTTTTATCTGGAATTTGAGATATTATATGGTTAATTTGATCTACGGTTAATTTAGCAATTGTCAATGCACTAAAAGATTTTACCTGCCCTATCTTATTTGTTCCTATCTTACTAAATATATGAAAATCTTTTGGGCTCTTTCTTTTCTTTTCCGAATAGTAGTTTCAGAAGTACTATCAGAAAGTTGTTTTTCGATTTCTTTTTTAACTTCGCTATTAGCATCATTTATATTATATGATTTTTCATAATAGAACTTGAAGCGTTTTGCTATACCTAATCCAAAGTTATAATACTGGATAATTATATTCTGGTTTGGTTTTTGGATTTCACTTTCAGCAGAGGTAATTTTAGTATATAAATTAAGAAAATCGATAGATTGTGGGTCGGTTTCAGTAGCTGTTATGGGATAAGAATTGTTGGTATCTGAAGTGGTTTGTTCTGTGTTGTTATATGATAATTCTACAATGAGCTTTCTTACAGTATTTGAATCCTTTTTATCGCCTTTTTCTTTATTCTGTTTTGGTTTTTTACTAAATGATTTATTTTTAGTGGTATCTTCGCTAGGTCTTTTTTGAATCTGCTCCTTATGGGTTGCGAATAATGGAAGATCCGAAAAACTAGAGTTAGAGACATGATGTGCTTCTGAGCTTATTGTATTTTGGCTTTGACTAGATACTAGAGGGGAAGTTTCCATTAGAATAGCAGTATTTACTAATGAAAACTCAATTTCCATTGCACACTTTGGGCATTGCAGAAGATCTTTTACATAATCCTCAAGACAGCTACGGTGAAATATGTGATTACAGATGAGTGCCGTAAATGGTTTTTTAAGTTCATACAAAAAAAGCTCTTCTTTACACCTCGAGCATGGATCTAGTTCTGGAACTTCAACGCCTTTTGCAATAATATTCCGGGAGCCATTTTTAAGAATATTTAAAGCGAGATTTTTGAGGCATGAAACATTTTGAGGTGTTGGGTTAGTAAACATATTCAAAGGTAAAATTTTTTATAATTAATAGAGTTGGTATACGGTATAAAGGATTATAGATAGATAAGTATTAAAATTAATTGTGTGGTTTGTTTATTTTTTATACATTAAACACTTTAGAGACTAACAAACCTAATTTGCAGATTTATGGAAACTAATTTCAGATTTGGCGATCTATTTATTCATGAATTATTAGTATGGGGGATCGCTCGATCTTTGCTAGCAATCATAGATAAAAAATTTAGCTTAAGGGTAAGTGTGATTAGTGACTCTAATAGAAGATTTCACCAATAGTATCCAAAAGTGTAAATGGGTTATATGTTTGCATATTATATCATATATATCAAACGTGTGGATTTTATTAACTAAGAATTTTTATTTAATTGTTATATTTATTATTGATTATAAAATATATATATATACATTACAATAAGTAGAACAATTTAGTGGGATATTTATTCTTCCGGAATTTCACAATCACCATATAGGTATGATGTAATCCCATCTTGATCTATCTACAATTTTGTATCTAGTAGGTTAATGCTCCTCTTTGTTTGCTTTATTCTATACATTCGATGTCTATAACTTCAGAGAAATTGTGCGGTTCGTGGTTGATCCTCTTTTCCCTCTAAAGCACAGTCCTCGAATATTTTATGAGTAAACTCTCTTTTGATAAGTGATTTTTTCAGGCCTTTTGCTTTTATCATATTTTTTCCTGAATTTTCACACACAACACTATAGCATTTTGCACGAACTCTCGCATAGCCAATAGCTCGATCTCCCCCATTTTTATCCTTCCACTTACCTATAACTTTAGTATTTTTTAAGACATGCTTACCTTCTTCATTGATTATCCACTGATCTTCTGGAAGATTTTTTACTAGCCAATGATTTTCTGGATAGTCACTAAAATCGTATAAATCACAATCTTCGATCATGTCCTGATAAATATTTTTGGTTTCAATTTCTATGATTAAAGAATCTGTATCTGTATATAAAAGTCTTACTCAATCACCATATTTCTTTTTGAGATGTCCATACCAGAAGTCATATATAAAGTATTTAGAAAGATCAAGAATACATGCTCCACTGGCTTATTTAGTTTTACATTGGTTTGTCTTCGATGTACCGCTACCAAATTTGCTCCATAGAAAATTTTCTGACTAACAAATGCTGGATCTGATATTAATCTACGTAACCTCTGTTCTTCACCTACCTGTCTAACTAAATCTATATTCACTCGTTTTCTTACATCTTTTATAGTTTTTCCAAATACTGAGTTATTTATTAATTTCTAGAAATCTTTTTCAAAAGCATTCTTTGCTTTTGCACGTCGTTGAGTATTTATTGCAATGTATGGTTCCAACCATGGTGATTGTTCGAAACCTAGAATTCGATATACTTTTTCAAGAACATATCCTTCCTTTATACATTGTTGTAGATTTCTATAATGAATAACATAATGGTCCTTATCATAGAGAGTTAGTATAAGTTTTTCTATATCTAAACGTTGTTTACCTGCCTATTCTTTTTGTTTTGAACTATACCAATCATATAGTACATTCTTTCGTTCTGGACACATTGGATAGTCTCGAAATTTGGAATATAATTCTTTTGGAATTGATAATTTAACCTCTAAGCAACATCCTCGATTTGATTTTTCTTTTATCGTTAAAATTTTCTGCACTAAAGAGTGAGATGCATCCAAAGGGTTTGTTGATAGCCATTTAAATCTACCAGTTGGTAAATATTGCGACATTGCCTAACCATATAAGTTATTGGCATCTAGATAGAGTAACCATTTTTTTGCTTTTTTTCTATCATACCCTTCTAATCCTGGAATATTTGCTCGAGCTATACATCTTCTAGCTAAGAACATTCCACCTCTTTTTATTGCTGTAAAGAAGTCATGCATATCCCCTTGATGCTCATTAAATAATTCTAGTTTTACTTTAGTTACCTTTATACAAGCGTCCCACGCCAAGCCTGGAGCTGTTAGATAATTTGCTAGATCTAACTTAAATGCTGAATATAAAGCTTTTCGGAATGTCTCAAATGCATCTGCTAAAATTAATACATCAGTTTTCAGATAGATATCGTAATAATCACCAAAAGTTTTACATCCTGTTTCTTGCCAAACTGTCCAGTCAAAGTCATAATCTTTTTGAGATATGGTATAAATTTTTTCGTGTTCACATTCTTTGTCTTCTTCACATTCATTGCAATTACCTGGTTCTTTTTTATGCTTACATTTCTGACATTTATGTTCACATTTACCTATCTTTTTTCTATATTCATATTTTTCTATTCTACAATTATGATCACAGTAATTAAACCCGTCTAAATCACTATTAAATTCTTTACATAGTGGAAGTTTAGTCTCATTAAATTTCTTTTTGCTATTTAACTATTGGTATGGAAATATTCCTTTGCATGTTAGCAATGATAATAAATGAGGTGAGATAAATTTTGACATAATAGGAAAACATTTTGCTAGCTGTTCTGGTGTTTTAGTTTGGCCCTTCTTTTCATCACGTAAGTTTTCTGCCATCTTAGCTAAACCGGGTAATAAAAATTTCAAACTATCAATAAATTGAAGTTGACCAACCAAGAAAGTAATATATTGTTCTGAATTATTTGCTATCGGCACTATTTTTTCATCCGTCACTTTTGCTATTTCTTGTATAAGATGATGGAAATCATAACCACTTCTATTACAAATTAGTATAGAGATTTTTATTGTTTCTGGATCAATTCGTAATTTGAGATTGCATTTATTATATGATGCTCCTCGAAATTTTCTTGTTATATGATCGTGATCTAATACCTTATTTTTTTCTTCATCTGGCAATTGGGTATTACAATACATATATTTTTTACAAGCACTATGTGCTTTCTTTTGTTCATCATCCAACTTACCTTAAATCATTGTTTTTTTTCCATGATATTTTCTATGCCCTGCTCCTAAATATTTCTTAGTTTCAGGATCGAATATGCGAATTTTATTATATCCAGCTTTATGTAATTTACCTTCACAGTTTCAACACTTATTTGCTATTTGATATTTTCACCATAATTCAGGCATCATTTTTCACATGGAACTGGAATGCGAAGCTTATCTAAAATAACATCTAAATCTTCTTGAAGGTTTTCTATTAAATCTTTTATTATATTTTCTGACTTTCAATTAATTACTAGTTTTTGTGTAGTTCCATCTGAACAATGTATTGTATATCCATATGAAACTGCTTTTTGTTCCGCTATTTTTATAGTATTTCCTTCTTTATCTTTTTCTTCCACTTCGACTTCTTCTACTTCTAAATCCATATCAATTATATAAGGTTTCATTAATATATTTTTGATATACTTGGGTTTTACATAATTCTTACCCTCTTCAGGAAGAATTAATCGTTGTGGTGCTTTATTTGGTCCTGGACATGCTGGAATATGCTTCTTTAATAAATCTAATCTGCTATATGGGAATCGTAAACATTTTCGACAAAAGTATTTCTTATCATAATAATTATTCCATTTATGCATTAATCGTGTGAAATCTGTTATAAGAACATAATATGTTTTAAGTCCTTCTGGTATATCGTTAGGATTTTTTCGATCATTTAAATTCTCCTCACCTTCTGTTAAATATAATAAATCTATCATATGTTCTACTTGGTAATTTCGTTCTGAAATATATAATAGGTCTATATCTACTTTTATTTTTCCAAAAGCTTTACTAAAAACTGGTCTAAATATATTGATAGCATAATTTTGATTAATCTCCTCGAATTTATCAATATCGTGTAATGTTGCTGGAAATTTTATACCTTCATAATTTGCTATATTTGCATTTCGTCTAAGTCTACGGATTTCATTAAAATGTGGTGGCTTTCTATTATTTTTTATTGCTTCTTCTCTTGTATGATATGCACTTATACACCATTTGAAACATTCATTATCATCTCTATTTTGAGGATTAATTAATCCTAGTTGAGGTTTATTCAAAGCTTCTGGTAAATATAAATAGCTACTACTACGCAAAGGTCTGAATGCGCTTATCTCTAAAAATACTTCTTCTGCTCGAACAAAAGACCATCCTGATTCTTGCAATGCTTCGTCTTCTATTTAATTTATAATTTCGTTATATCCTTTTTCTATTGTTGCATTAATTCGATCTTCTCTAATAATTTCTATTGTTTCATGCTTGAATGGAAAAGTTTTATATAAAGGTTCTGGAGTTTCCGGTTTAATTTTCTTCATATATGCATATAACACGATTCTTACTTTTAATCCACCTTTTAAAGCTAACTCTTTTTTATAAATATCTGCAATTTTTTTTTCGATTGATTCGAAGAAAGCTAATGGCTCGCCCTCGGTATAGTATCCTTTTGGTACAAATGCATAATAATTACATACCTCACCTTCATTAAATTTTTTGGCTTCTGCTATTCTATTATTGTATGGATTCTTGATTTTTTCGAAATGAATATCTGGTTCTTCTTCAGCAATATCATATTCTGAATCACTTGGTTCGCTATCTTTTTCGTTATCTATTTCCATTAAATCATACCATTCTTTATTGTTTTTAGGTATATGCTTTGATCTAATTTTTTTATTGTTTTTTATTTCTGGCTTTGATAACTATTTTATTAATTCATCTATTGTTAAAATTGATTTCTTTTTTTGTTCTTCTTGAGTATTAGAACTTGATCCTGCTTCTGTATTTGGAACATCATCAGTTAAAGGGTCGACTGCTGGCACACTTGCCTCTCTCGGCTGAAGTGTTGGTGGGTTTTCATCGAACGATATGAGATACCTTTAGGAGTTGATAGCGGATTTTGCTTTGGAGTAACGTTTTCAGTTTGAGGTGTATTTTGCTTTGGAGTAACGTTTCCTACATTTTGTATTATAAGCAAAGCTGGTTGGCATTGTTCTTTACGAAGGTTTCCATTTAAATTCATGTGTTTATTAAGATCTCAGGTTTTACCAGTTCTTATTTCTCGATCACAACCTGGACATTTAAGTATCTTAACCATAGTAATATGTAATCTGTGTTTTTTATTAATATAACCAGATCTTTTGTTTAAATTAAAATAATTAATTCAGTTATATAAATTTATCGAAATGCATGGTGAATATACATGCGAATATATACACAACTCTGGAGAAGTCTGTGGACATGGATGCTGATGTCATGAAGGATGCCACAAACATTGGAGAGCAAAAAAATGTATTTTATATAAGATTTGTAGTAAGCCAACTTCTTCTGCACCTGGTACTTGTAAAAACATGCTAAAGGATATTATGTTATGCAGTTTTATGGTTGACAGATACAAAACATCCTTACTCTGTAAGACTTCAGATGCTCGAAGAGTATCCATAAGGTCAGAAAATCGGCATAAGTTTAATTGATTGATATTGCTAGATGCCATAGCATCCTTACTTTGTGAGACCAAAAAATACACCTGTCGCATACCTAGAGCTTAGCCCATTGCTTATTTTGGAGAAATGGCACTTCGTGTCTACAATAAATTTTAGTACTTATTATAAAATAATGACACTTTGTGTCTGTGCTTGCTCTGCTAATTATATTTTTTACTATACTCTTTATCAAAAGAATACTTTAAAAATGCTACTGCTTCACTTTAGTTTGCAGTATTAAAAAAGCTAATTGTTGACTAAATAGATAACTAATACTCCGCTACGCTTCGCATTCGGAGTCGCTATGCTCCTCCAGTACAAAAAACTAAATAGAAATCAAATATGATAACTATGCTTCACTTCACTCCGCAACTGTGTCGTACACCCTTAGAGAGTGTACTCCTTAGTAATAGAAAGCTAAATAGCAATCAAAATAAATATCAAAAAAGTACACCAAGCGTAAAGTATATATAAAAATACACCATTTATGTAAGCTTTTTATATGTTATATATAAGTTATATAAGTTATCAAGAATATGATAAAACTTGAAAAAAAACAAGAATGAATAGTGTTATCAAAAAAACACAACCGTGTACCTAAAAAGCCCACTATTATATTACTAATATAATATTATACTAATTTTTTGTAGCAGTTTAAGAATATACTCTAGCTGCAAGTAATAGTATTCACTTCATTGTACCCTAGTATATAGATTTTTAGATAATTAGTTTAGAAAAATTTCTTTAACTTGTACTAAATTATCATTATAATAAAAATTTTAATTTATAACAATTTGAATCATCTAATTAGTAAAAGGTTTTAGATCAATTGATTTGCTAAAAGTTTAACCTAAATATTAAAAATTTTGGATTAGGTATACAGTTATCTAAATAGTTGTTTGAATTCCTATATATAAAATTTTGTTATAATAACCCATTTACTATCAAATATATAACAATAATATAATTACTACAATTAGGAAATATACCATAAATGTATAGTGCTAATTATATGATTATACTATTTATAGTAATAGAACACTGATATAATGGTTCTAGAAATTTCTTTATATCAATTTAAGAATAATCATTAACCAATTAAATCAACTAAATAAAAAAAATTTTGTTATTATACAAACCAGAATATTCTAAATCTTATTTATTTTTTTAATGATTTATTTACTTTTTTAATGAAAGTTAACTAAAGTGAATTATTATAGATTATTTAAATACATGTTTTCTACTATCTATTAATGCTTTTATTTAGAAGTTTTAAGCAATAAATAAAATGTGTAAAAAATTTTTTAAAACTGCTAACAAGAAGTCATACAAAAGCCAATCAAATCTGTGCAGATCATTCTAGAGCTAGATTTTCTAGTTTTCTCTAATTTGGTATATTCTCTAACTGTACTATAATTATTTTTTAATATTCCAAGTATTCCAAAAACAAAAAATTCTTGTAACCAATTTCACAGTAAATCTTCAATTTCTGTATATATTTTGTTAGAATCATAAATATAAAATCATCTAAATAACATAAAATTGATAATACAAATGCACTACAAGTAGCAAAATCCAGTCACCTGTCTGGGAGTTATTAGAACCACTATAAGAGATGTAGGAAATACAGAATTATGTGAAATAAAATAAATTCTGTAGTATAAAAATCCTGGTTATACTGTATACTTGGGAGAGTAAATTTCTAGATAAACTTAGGAATAAATTAGTCTTAATGTTGGTAGGATTAACGTTAAACATTGTATATATTACATAATTTAAAAAATTTTTAATATAAAAATTTTTTAAAATAAAACAAGTCATGTGTTTGTCTTTGTAATATTGAGCCCATATACCCAGGGGTAAGATTTTAATATACGTTAACCGGAGGTTAAATTTATGCAGAGTCTAATCTATATCAAGATCTGATTAGCCTTTACGAAACCAGCATTACGTGGGCATTACCCAGGTTAAAATAAAAATTTTTTTTGAAATATAACTGTTTTTCCAAAATCGATAAGAGTATTATATTTATAGATGGCTTCTTACGTAGGTGAGAATCACCAACAGATATTAATAGTCAAGTTACTTTATGTGAAGGCGAACTAAACTGATATGTGTATAAATCTTACTATTCAGTCAAAATATATTCAAAAGCTAGATCACGATCAAAAAACGACAAATTCTCAAGTATATAATAATTAATTAGATCAACTGGTTAAATATACATCCTTGGGGGTTACAATTTCTAATCTAAGCAAATTAGAGTTAATTTTTTTTATGCATTTTGAGAGTATATATGCATTTATTTGTATTTATATTGACTATCAATACATATTTTGTAATATTTATTTACGCTATATAATAATACTGTATATATTTTTTTGTTGGTATACCATATCCTAATTAGAGTAAATATAATTAGAAGGTATGTACGTACGTACGTATTTCGTATTATACAGGAAATTTAGAATTATATATAGTATATTTGGGAGCCTTATGATGATAGGATCTTGTGTTTCTTAACTCAGTTGCATGCAGATCAATTAACGTTAATCCAAACGCGAAATTACAAATTTATAAGAAACTAAAAATAGAGGATCTTTTGAATTATATACTTGTTTTACTTGTTTTGGTTTGACACCTTACCTAACCATGTGATATTAGCAATATCGGTTATAAGAGCAAAATTGTTATTGGTTAATGAATGAAGTGTGGCTGATTGGAATTATTAATAGTTAAACCTATCGAAATTAGAAACGAAAGAAAATTTTATTCACAAAAATCAGTTATCTTGTGAATTATTATTAGATTCCTCTCATCGAGACGAACCAAACGCTTTACAAAAAGATGGGATCACATGATTTTTGTGATGAATATCGGACTTTAGTTTTATATATTTTCGAACGGTTACGTTTATATTTCTTTGAATTCTTAAAATAGATAGAATCTCCGACTCCCAAATGACATTGTGTTCTGCGGAGGCCACATCTTTTTTGCAGAGTAATAATTCCAATTAATGGTTTACGAAATAAATGATTTTTTGTAAAGAAATATTTTTGACAATTTGGACCCATTTCTCAACACAAGCCCAAATTAACATACAATGATAATAATAGTCATATTTATTATGATATTATTATTTTACTATTATTATTATTCATTAATTTCGAGATTGTATATTTAGTCTTGACCAATTCCTACATTATAAATATTTCAAATGTTACGTAAATACTTGGCAAAAAAGAAATGTAAAGTACTTACGTACGTACGTACGTACTTAAATGAAATTAGTCCAAGCCTCTATAATTAAAGCCACAAACAATTTAGTAAAAAACGGTTAAATGATTAACGGAAACCGGAATGAGTTATACCATGCGTTCACCAAATATGGAATTCACGGCAAACATGCATGTAAATAATTCAATGAGCTTAGAAACAACCCGAAATTCGGTTTAGAGTAATAAATAAAATAATTTATAAAAAGTTAGAAACAAAATTATGATTTTTTAATCTTGCATCCTTTTTCTTTAGTGGTAATAAAAGTCGCCACGAAAAAAAACAAGCGGTTACTCATTTCTGTAAATGGACAAAAATAGTGTGGAATAAAACAAAGCAAGGATTTTTTTTGCAACTTATAATCGTGTAACCAACAAAGAATTCCATTCAAAAACAAAATAGGAAATTGAGCATACAATTGAAGATAAAAATCCATAATACCAAGTTTAAAAAGGTTTCTCCCTTAGCGTTGCAGTAATGCACCCTGTAATGCACCCTGTAATACGGAATGACCAATTAAATTTCAGGATCAGGTGTAACGTAAAAAAATGAGACGAAAAGTTTAATGTTTCTTGTGAAATTTACTGTTACGCGCTAATCCCAATTATAACACGAACTTTATTAGTAATAATTTTTTTTACGCGCAATTTAATTAATAACAAAGAAACAGATTTTATAAGAATATCATGTTACACTGAACATATACCAAATATGAAATTTGATTGGTTAGTCATATTTTAGAAGAATTGATATTACAGTATTAGTAGTATTAGTGAATCGATAATAATCACCTGAATTTTTTTGGATTAAATAATGGGTCGTATACCGGTATGCATCTTCGGAAAATAATGTTTGGGAATCAACAACATCAACAACGTGTGAAAAATTTGACACATCATCACTAAATTAGAATAATATATAATTGTTAATATAAATAAAATTTGGCGGGAAACCAAATATCGGTACATGGGCAATGGCGCAGCCAAACAAATAATATTTCAGTATTTAGGGTAAGAAAAAAAAACAACTTTTTTTTGGATGAATTCATTGAGTAAACATCAATATTCCATTGCACATAAAGAGAATTTCGAAATTTACAAAGTTATTGTAATATATATATATATATATATATATTTAAATATATAAATTAGAATTTATTCAGTGTATTAATATATTTGCCCAACCATTAAGGTTAAAAATGAATGCAAGAAATTTGTAGAAGCTAGAGTAAGAACGAAATGTACGACATTGAAAGGTTAAAATTTCAAAATTTTAATACAGCAAATATTAGTGTAATTTTCTTAATTACACAAAATTGACCGTGTGAACCTATTGCTTCAGAGATTTAGAGATAACAAAAGTTGTAGTAATTAAAGACGAAAAAAATAAATTCAGCATTTTTGAATTATTACAAGATTATATATAATACACAGTAAAAAAGTCATCGATTGTTGTTAATGAGGTAATAATTACATAGATGCTGTAACATTGTTGCAACCAATTACAAAAAATTATATTTTGTACGTAATGAAATTAGCGTTAAGGAATTTTAGAAAAGTAAATTTTTAATAAAGTTGTGTCATATAATCGGTTAAATATTTTTATCTCAAGTATCACACTTTCTAGTTCTGTATAATTGATTGTGGGGATAAATTTGGTATTATTTTTCTTTATTAAACATGGTAATCGTTTTAAGGTTTATATCGAATTATAAAATTCACACGGAGGAAGAAGTAGAAAAAAATATCAACTTTTAAAGTTATCCTCGAGCATTATTCATTATCTGTTATTATATATTCATTTTCAGCATATACAGTAACTGGTAAGTAATACATATACATAAATACGTACGTACGTACTTATTATTATATAGATACATGTTTTTTACCGGTTTAAAATTTAATAATTACGTTGGCAAATAAAATGTTAATACAAAAGTAGCTGTTTATAGTGATACGTACATACGTGTTCGTATACCCATTTTTCGTGATAACTTTCTATGAGTGATTTGTTTGATCAACACATGCCCTCAAAAGATGACCAGAATATTTATGTCAAATTATTCGAAATAATTATCGGTATTTTTCTAGATTGCCGAGACTTTTCAATTTCAAGTCAGATTGATTACTTTATCAGACCATAATAGGAATTTTGCCAAGTTAAAAGTGACTAACCCAAGTAAGTTACCCATGGAAATCCCGAAAGGCTAAGGCTTATTCTTAATAACGCATGTATTTTATTTATTTTTATATAGAAGGTTAAGAAATTTATGTCACGTGATATAAAATATTGCGGGAAAACAAAATAAAAACTCAGAATGCATACGTCATTATAAATTCCGAAATAAACCACTAATCAAAAATCAAAGTTTGTCCATCAAAATAGTGATGTCGCACATGATGAGTTTGTAAATGTGTAAGTTATGTAGCATGGTACTTACGTAACAATATATTGTAAATTAAAAAAAAAAAAGTTTGATTTTCCTGTATTCTGTATTGTATATAAAAAAGCAAGTAATTTGCCATCTGGAAACAACCTTTTTTTGTTGGTTTTTGCAACAATCGTTTTCGTGACACCAACAGGAGATCATTAACCCCTCCAAAATTTACAAACAATAAAAAGGGTTACGGTTAATCCCCATTTTTCAAAATTTTCAATCTTCTTCAAGATCTCATCCGACATTCAAAAAAAATTTTTTTTTCTTTTTTTTTACAAGATCCAATAAATTTTTAATAATTGTGAATTATCACCACTTATAATGTTGAGTAATTGTAGTAGCTTTGAAGGTAATGCTTAGTAATCTAACTAATGAAAATTATTCATCATCAAAATCGTTTAGAAAAAAAAAACCTTTAGAATTTTTTATTTATTTTTAAATGGAATTAGATAATATAACGAAAAAAACTTTTTTACCTTAAAATTAATATAATTAATCAATTTTCTTTAAACAATTTACAATTTTATAGATAGTGAAACAAATTATTTCCCAATGACACCAAGTGAAAATGGAGAAAGTCCATTGATAAATTTTAAATCCATACGAAAAAGTCGTTGGCGTCTCTCTGAAGTTCCACCGGAAATCATGCAATTGATCACACCACCTAGTTCTGAAGCATCCGATTCACCTACAAGTTTTTTACCAAGTACACCTGGTACACCATTCTCAACAACAACACAGTTAATCGATGATCGTTGTTCACCATTACCTTCACCAACGATAAATAGATCAAATTTACGTAAAAAACTTCGTAAAAATCCATATCCGGTTCGTTCGCCAGATAGGGAAACAACTGAGGATACAATGTGTTTAAGAATTAATGTATACGATATTTACAAGAAAAATCCAAAAGCTCTTTTAGATAGACCACAATATAGAAGAAATGGTTATAGGAAAATACAATCCGTTTGGGAAACAAAAATTGATAAAACTCAACCACCACCACCACCATTACCATTTGATGAATTGATGAGTAACTTGGAAGATTTAGAACTTAGTACCAAAATTTTAGATACAATCGAACGTCCAAAAATTACTTGGAGAGGTCCTGAATCAAATGTTGAAATATTACCACATGCAAGTGTTTTACATAGAGTTGAAGCGAAAGCTTGTGGAATTTTAAGATTATCACCTGAACAATACATTAATTCTAAGCTAATTATTCTTACTGCTGCAAAAGAATATAAAGAAAGGTCTATTCCATTTAGAAAAGTAGACGCTCAAAGATTGGTTAGAATAGACGTGAATAAGGCTTGTAAACTTTGGGAATTCTTTTCACAAGCTGGTTGGATTCATAATTAAAATACATTTCAAAATAAATTTTATGTGCATTTGTTTGTAGGATTTCATTCCTCTTATTACTCTTTTTTTTTTTTTTTTTTTGTGGGTAATTCAAATTTTTCAAATTTTTAGCATAATCAAAAATTCAAAATTTTTTTTTAAAAAAAAAAAAAGTTTTATAATTTCTTTTAGTAATTCAAAGATTCAAAGTTCGGTTGTATTTTCCCTTTTGTTTTTCCATTTCCATTTCCTTTCAATACACGAACAATAAATTTTTTGTAATTAGAAGTGGTATTTAGGTGGGGTAGTACAAAATTTAATATAAATCAATTAGTAGACCGTATTGTGTAAATAGTAATAAAATAATAAAAATAATAAAATATTTGGTAAGAATACAAGAATAACGTCTTGCCATTAATACTTAAGAATTACTTAAGAATTTAAGAATTACTTTAATTACTTTAATTACTTTACTACTGTATTACTGTATTTACTTTAATTACTGTAGTTACTGTAAATTACTGTATAAAAAATTTTTTTAAAAAATAAAAAAATAATAATAATAATACGCGTACAGTCGCGATTTTTTTTTCATGTTTACAGCATTTACGGCATTTAAAGGGGTATTTCCTTTAGGTGAGTTGAAAATTGTCATATTTCAAAACTAGTCAAGGAAGTCGAAAGCATGGACAAAAGATTCTCCTGCAGAAAGACATAATTATTTCGGTTAGCTTTTTCCACATGTTGCATATCCAAATTTGTTAATATGTAAAAACGACAATGCTTGGTAATACTAATGGTTATCAATTAAATTTAGTATATAAAATCTAATATATATAATGTCTAACAAAGGTATTACAAGTTATCGTACGTACATCAATCATTTTTATTCTTTCAGTCTTCGTTCAATTGCAATCAAAATTAGTACTGTACGATACTGTACATACGTAGAAAAAATAAAATAAATTTTATTATCTATCTGCTATGTAAAAAAGAATGACTTACCAATACGTACATTACGTATTGACATATCCTTTTATATATTGATATATATATATATATGTATAAATTATATATATATAATTAATTTTATTTAATATATTTCGCAAAACCAATGATTATTAAATTTGGCGTAGTTCGATAGATTGATAATTTTAGTAATTTTAGATAGTTCCGACTGTGATACCGTGTGATTCTATCAGTTATAAAAAAAAAAAAAGTTGTGTCACTAAATTTACTTGATCAGATATAACACAATTATCATGTGAATATAAAGTGTATTCCTTTTCTTTTTTTTTTAAATAAATCTTTTTTTAATCTCTCACTTTTTGTTTTCGTCATGACCTCACAGGAAGAACCAACCATAACGGCTATTTCTCCGACTTCTACTCTCGGAACTGCTGCGGCTTCCGAACATCAGCCCGAAATCGCTTCACCAACCGACCGTGAAATACCGCCACTAACTAATTTTAAATTTCCGCCTTCTCCGCCACTACCGGGTACTGCGGATTCGATCCCATCTCGTGTAGTACCTAAAAAGATATTTGATGTTAGTAATGATGATGATGAAGTTGTCAGTAATAATGACTTGACTGTTGAGTCTGTAGTTCCTCCTCAGGACGGAAATCTAGAATCGCCTGATAATCTTGACTCTGAAACTTATCTTGCTGAAACTGTTGCAAAAGTTTTAGGAAACCAAACAAAGGAACAACAACAACTGCAAACTGAAGTGTCTGAATCTTCTGTTAAAAAAGTTCTTTTGTCTAGTACTTCAAATTCTTCTCCTGATTCAACTCATATTAATAATAGTAATATCAATAATTTTAATATTAATAATAACAATAATAATAGTATTAATAATATTAATAATAGTATCAATAATATTTCTTCGAGTGCTTCTTCTCAACAATCTATTCAACCTCCTCCTCCTCCTATCACTGGAAAAAATTGTTTATCCGATTCAATCAGTCCATCAACTCCACCAAATCCTTCAAATCATTTAAATATGTCTCAACCTGATTCTCCTCTGACTGTTCCTATTTCAACTAATGATACTAATGATACTGTTACTACAACCACCACTCAACCTCAAGTTACTACTGCTCCTTCTTTTAAACTTACAAAATTTACTATTAGTGGTGACTCTCCTGATACCACTCCTACATCTTCACCTGTCCAGAGGTTATCTGATATACATTGTACTGTAGGTGATGGTTCCGGTGCTCTTCCCAATTTTTCTCATGATTTCGAGTTAATTCCACCTACTCTTGATGATTCTTATTCTTCTGAGCCTCTTGATTATTGTCTTCCTCCTTCAAATAATTCTATGTCTCGTACTCAACGAAAGCTCTTACTTCAACGTGATTCTTTTCTTGCTGATGACGAAAATTATGTTATTCATCCTCATAATCAACGTAGATTAACTAAAGCAATTGAACGTATAAATCGTGAACATACTGCTATATCTTTATATAGAGATCCTATGATTGAGAGTTTACAAAGAGCTTTCGCAAAATATGCTCAAGATCATCCTGAAGTTTTGGATGATGATTTTGGTGCAAATTATGAAGATTCAAAAGAATGGGGAATTTTATCTGATCAAACAAAATCTATGGATCAAATTGGTTCAATTTATGGTCCAATTAGTTAATGAATTTTTGTATAAAAAATCAGGTTTTAATTCTGATTTTTTTTTTTTTTTTTTAAATTGGAACATTCGTCTTATATAATTGGGCTTTTTTTTTTTTTTGCTGTGTATATTTCTTTGATTACTTTTCAGGTGAGATGGGCGATCGTCTTTTTTTTAAATAAAAAAAAAAAAAAGAATATATATATATTTTTTTTTTAACTCTTGTTAAATAAAATATAAACTTTAGCTTTATTTGCTTTGTCTCTTGATTTATCAATTACGGTTGATCCTCTTTAAGTGCATATTCTCTATCCAAAATAATTTATTTTATTTAGAGTATCCATAATATCGATATAATCTTTGTGCTTAATTTATGCTCACTTTACTGTATAATATAAATTTTTAAACTTATAATTGAAGTATTTGGTTTAATATTAAAATTTTGTTTCTTGTATTAAAGATTATATTAAAACTTTAATACTGTATATACTAATTTAAAGTTTGAATTTCTAACTATATATATATATATATATATATATATATAAATTATTAAATTTAAAATAGTTTGTTTTTACTATATATTGTAATTTAATTATTATTAATAAAAAAATTTTTTTTATAGTAAAGAATATATATATACAGTTATATAGTTAGGTTAAAAGTTTTTTTTTGCAAAACTTTAGTATATACGTATAAATTAAGCTTTATAAATTATAACTATAATAATAATAATGTATTTACTATATATATAATAATTTTAAATATATAGTATATATATAATTATATAGATAGTTAATTTATTTATAATTTATATTGTACCGAAAATCGCGAAGTAACGCGCAGGGGTGTAATTTCGAATTTCAGCCTAAATTAAGCTTAATCGGATTTTAGCCTAAATTAAGCTTAATTCGGATCACTATTCAAATCGCCCCTGTGCGTTATTTTGCGGGGTTTATACTAATATATTATTTCTACGTAATAGTGATTATTTAATTAATAAAAATTAGATTACTATTTATTATAATTTTTTTTGTAAATGTATAAATGTCAAGTATAGAATTATCATGATAATAAATAAGTATAGATTGAATTTTTTTAAACTTATTACTTAAAAAAATTTATGCAATAGAATAAAATTATCACTAGTAGTTAGAGTGTATTATTAAACTACTACAAAAATTAGTATAATATTATACTATTTATTTTTCTATTTGATAATTTAAATTAGGCAATTACTATTTAAACATGAGGTGTATTAACACTTGGTTATACAAAATAATTAGAAAACCAATTAAAGTATCAAATTGAATGCAATATGTAGATCTTTTTGTATAACAAAAATAAAGAAAAAAACTAAAAATAAATAATATAGAAGTTTTTTAATAATTAGCCTAGATAATTTTATTAAACATTATCCTACTATATAAATTATAATATATATTGTATAATATACCTTAATACCAAAAAAAAAATATATATATATATATATATATATAAACATTTCCAAGCAACATCTATTCGGCAACTCTTTTCAACGATCACTCAGTCCAAAATTTTTATGGAAGAAAAACACAAATTTTGTTGGAGAATCGTGCCCTAACGTAGCAGTTTGTTTAGAGGTTAATGTACTGCTGCAAGACTCCTCTACAGGTAATATTCGACATGCAAGCCAAAAGCATTATTATACAAAATAACTGGCAGAAGGTGTCTTTGTATAAAAAATCTTGGTGGGGAAGAGAACTTTTTGGACACTCTTTTTTCTTTGTTGACAAAGCTCTTAAGTCGTACTTTTTTAAAAACATTGGGAAACAACAAAATATCTTGTTACTTTCTTCAAGTCATATTCTTTTTACTTGGTCAAGTGGTATCTTTTTACTCTCTTTCATCCTTCCGTCAGTCTTTTAAAAAATTTTAACAAAAAGTAGGAATTTGGCTTATCCCCTCCAAAAGATCGGTATTGTTTACTTCCCAAATTCAAACAAATTAGCAGAATGCAACTACATGTTTGTTTATGGACGAATATGGCGCTTTTTCATGAGACTTAGCCTGGAAACTCTAATTACGGTAGCAGGTGGCTTGAGACACAGGTCCTCGGATAACGGCAGCATCTGGCTCAAGATACAAATTAGGATGGGCAACAAAGCTACCCGGAGTTGGTAGAAAGGTTAGAAAGTAAATTTAATGTTAAGATATAGCTTTATAGTAGAGATATACAAATGTTGTATTTGTTATATAATTTTTATCAGCCATGCACAGGCTATAATAGTGCCTTCAGGGTTTTAAATTTCTTTTTATGTTTTTTTTTTTTTACAATTAGTATTTCTTTTTTCTTTTCTGCTTTTTTTTTTTTCTAGTTGTTTTTGTTGTTGTTTGTTTGAAAATTTTCCCTTTTGTCTCATATTCCTTGAGAAGAAGAAAGAATTAAAAGGAAAAAAAAGATCCTGATGCGGTATACAACATCCAGTCAAATGATCGAGAGGGGTATTCTTTGTCGATGCAAAATTTGAAGTGAGTTAGACTTCAGCAACTTACGCCACGGCTTTACCCATGTACTTGGAGTCAGGGCTAACCATTGAACTTCTGCGATTACCTACTTCCACTCTTATTAAGTTCACAACAACCCTGATATCCGCAATTGGACCATCTTCTTACCTGGATTCTTTATCAGTCTCCCTCTTATTTCCAGCCGGCAACCCGGAAGGGTTGGTCTGCTCAGGCTTTAGGTATCTAAAGGATGCTCTCTTCTTGATACATACTTTCGGAGCGTATATCCTTTTCCTCCGGTGTGACAGACTCGGCGGTTCGGCTGGTGTGTCCTCCATCATTAGGACCTGGTCGTTCAGGCCTCGGTTCAAATTCAGCCCTCTTGTGATACCATTGAAGATCACTGTTATTCCTAGCTCAGGACTTCCCAAATGGGTTTTCGGTTATGCACCATTGCTTCCATTACTAGATGGTGTGACTGAAGTTACAGATTAGATCCAACCAATAAGCATAGCAGTCAACCGAACACAAGCCTATTTTTTAAATATCATCACTAGTGGGATTTGAACTCTAGATCTGCTACTTGGAGAGGGTAACGACTAGACTATTACACTAAGTCGCCACACCTCACAATATATATATATTTTATATTTTAACTTTTTTTAATTTTTTTAAATTGATTTTTAATTGTTATTTTATTTTTTATTAATTTTTTATTAATTTATTTTATTTTTT